GCCTTTCATTGTAAGAGTATGGCCTTATATAGCTGGCCTACAGGTGTAATCATAGAGGGAATATCCTCTGATTGGCAGGATAACTAACTCTGGGAAATATCATGGAGGGAATATCTTCTGTCGGCAGAATCACGCTCTCTGTGTGTAACTAATTCTGAGGCTCTGTCGCCTGTCCCTGAGGCTCTGTCACCTGTCCTTTCTGCCTCCTTGAGTACTGTTGATGGGTAGTGGCCTGCTCCACTCCCTTTGTTGAGTTAGGGGAAGGTATTTGGGTCCCAACATTTTGCTTAGGGCCCAACCACACAAATGAAAAGCAACAAGGCAACAGATCACCTTGCCACACACCCTTGGAGCTCTTAAATCCTCCATGAGAAGACCCATTAACCAAAATGGAGAAAGGAGTTGTGATACAGCTTTCATTCATTTCCTCCATTTACTACCAAAATTCATACACTGAAGGATGTAATCAAGAAAGTTTCAGTTCACATTGTCATAGGCCTTCTCTATATCCATTTTGCACAAAATCCCTTACACACCACTTTTTACTCTTGCATCAATCAATTCATTTGCAATCAAAACCCCATCCAAGATTTGTCCCTCCTTCTAAGAAGGCACATTGACATTGAGAGATAATTTGCCGCGTAACTTGCCTCATTCTCTTAGCAAGAACCTTGGCCAGAATCTAATACACCAATTAAGCTTATTGACCTAAAGTCCTTACTATTGGTAACCCCTCTCTTTTTTGGAATTAAAATGTAAAGGTGGAGTTCAAACACCTCACCAAGCCCATGGTGAAGCCATCGGGTCCCGGGGCTTTGTCCCCTTCCAAATTGCAAATTAACTGAAATATTTATTCCTCTGAGAATTCCTTTTCCAACTCTGCTGCCTGATTAGCACTCAAATCCTCAAAGTTAATTCCACCAAGCTTTGGTCTAAGCTTCCATTTCTCTTTATATAACTCTTTGTAGTAAGAAATGATTGCATCCATGATTCCCTGGTGCTATGTTCATCATTGAATATATGGCCACTTACTTTGAGCCTCAAGATTGACTTCTCCCTTCTTCTAGCATTTGCTATCTAATTAAAATATGATGTATTCTGACCACCAGATTCCAGCCAAAGAGCCCTCTTCCTAATGAGCTAATTTGTCAAATATCGGCTATTCAACTTAGACACCACAGATTCCTTTTACAATAAAAGAGGGAAAACACAAATCAGAATATTGCCTCTTGAGCAAGTATATACTTAATTAGGTTCAAGAAGAATGAAAGATTGTTGTGGATTGCTTTCCATAGAGAAACCAACATTGCTCTAGTTAGGGGCCGGGCCAGGCTGAGCTTTTGGACCTATGATTAAATATGTTATATTAAATTATATAATATTTTATATTATATGACATATAATATATGTATGAAATATATGTTATACTTCATGTAATATAAAACATTATAAAATTTATAGTACATCACCATCATCATCATCCATGCCTTATCCCAACCATTTGGGGTCAGCTACAAGAATCCCGTTTCACCAATCCATTCTATTTAAAGCCATATCCATTGTTAAATTATTAGTGCTTAAATCATTTCTTACTACTTTTACCCATGTCCTTTTAGGTCTACCCCAAGCTCTTCTAACACCTTCAATCTGTAGCAAATCACTTCTTCTAACTGATGCAGTTCGTGGTCTTCTATGCACATGCCCAAACCATCTTAGTCTACTCTCTCCCATTTCATCACCTATTGAAGCTACCCAATGGATAACTTCATTCCTAATTTTTTTTTTTTTTTGAGAAGAGATGAAGTATTGATTCATTAAAAAATAAAAAAGGAAACCCATGTACAACCAAAGGCTATACAATGGGAAATACAAAATAAACCAATTTTTTAAAATGCGGAGGCGTGACGCGAGGCGTGAGGCGTTCTGAGGCGTAAGCCTTCTTAAGAGGAGGGGGGGTTAGGAGGAGGATGAAGAGGAAGGGGGGATCTCATTTTTTTCTTTATTTTTAATAAAAATCTTTTATATTAAGAAGAATAAAGATGCATAACAGTAGTTCAAAGGGGCGGGTTGTCTTGTCAAAGCGAAGGGCCCCCCAGCCAAAGGGGCAGGGGGCAAACCATTTTCTTTCCCCTTATCTTTTCTTCCCTTCCCTTTCCTTTTCTTTTCTTTCCTTTTCTCTTTTTTTCTTCTCTTTCCTTTCCTTTTCTTTCCCTTTCTTTTCTTTTCTTTTCCTTTCCTTTCCTTTCCTTTCCTTTCCTTTCCTTTCCTTTCCTTTCCTTTCCTTTCCTTTCCTTTCCTTTTCTTTCCCTTTCTTTTCCTTTCCTTTCCTTTCCTTTTTTTCTTTTTTCTTTTTTTTTCCTATTTTCATATCAGGTGTGCATGAGGCGCAAGAGGCGTACGCCTCTAGCATGCCTCATGAAAAAAGCGCAAGAGGTATCAGCGCCTCTGGCATACGCCTCAGGGCATTTTGGGAGCGCCTCCAGGCTCCCACACCTTTTAAAACACTGAAATAAACGTAAGACCACTATCCCATTTGTCATTACAAAAAGGCCTGCAAAAAGAAAGAGATAACTAAGGGGAACGATGTTTCTTGATAGATGTGCAGATGACCAGGAAAATGCCATAGCATTTTCCCTCTCTTACTCAGACCATGTGTCCACCAACCTTTTACAAAAGCTTCCACTGATGCAGGGCAGCATCTTTTAATGGCAAAATTTCTAAATATTTTCACCCATATGTTGTATATAAAACTGCAATGCAACAACAGGTGGTCAGCTGACTCTTCTATTCCGTTACATAACGCACAAACAGGTGAGTCGATCACCATTCCCCTCCTAATCAGGTTGTCATTTGTAGGAATTTTGTTCAGATAAGCAGACCAAACAAAGAAAGCTACCTTTGAAGGGATAAACTTACTCCAGATTACATGCCACGGGACATCCTGCTCATTCTCTTGTGTCGGTTCATAATAAAAAGATTTTACTGTAAACTGACCCTTTCGATCTGCTGTCCACACCCTTCTGTCCTCTGAATTAAAATCTATTTGCATGCTGTACAATTTCTGAAGTAGTTGCCCAAGAGGTTCAATTTCCCAATCAATTAGAGCTCTTCTAAACTGTGGGCTCCAAACATGATTACCATTTTGAACATGCACATAATCAGCCGCTTTTGCTTCCTTATCCACTGCAATTGCAAACAGGTCTGGAAAGTCATCCTTTAACAAGTTGTTTCCACACCAGCAATCCATCCAAAATCAAACCCTGGTTCCTCTTCTTACTACAAACTTGATTTCCTTGCTAATGAACTGTAACTCTTTTCAACCCCTTTCCAAATCAAGCAACCAAAAGACTGATTTGTCTCTCCTGGATCCCATCCCTCATTTCCATAGATAACTTCATTCCTAATCCCATCCTTTCTAGTTTTTCCACTCATCCATCTCAGAATTCGCATTTCTACCACATTCATTTTCTGGGCATGTTGTTTCTTGATTGCCCAACATTCTGCTCCATAAAACCTAAGATAAAGCCTAGAAATCTGCAGGTTGAACCAAGATGGGATAAAAATGATCACCCCTAGCTCTAGTAGGCAAGTCGACATCCTATCCATTAACCATCAATCCATAAATACTAGCCACCACTTTATGCCACATCTGTCTATTTCAAGGGGCAATCTCCATAAGCACTTCTCATGCAAAGCCATGTTCTTTTTCCCCAAGAAAAGAGTTACAGTTCATTTAGCAAGGAAATCAAGTTTGTAGTAGGAAGAGGAACCAGGGTTTGATTTTGGATGGATTGCTGGTGTGGAAACAACTTGTTAAAGGATGACTTTCCAGACCTGTTTGCAATTGCATGAGAAGTGCTTATGGATAAAAATGATCACCCCTAGCTCTAGTAGACAAGTCGACATCCTACCCATTAGCCATCAATCCATAAATACTAGCCACCACTTTATGCCACATCTGTCTATTTCAAGGGGCAATCTCCATAAGAACTTCTCATGCAAAGTCATGTTCTTTTTCCCCAAGTTTCCTAACCCACACAGGCCACACCTCCTTGATCCTTTCTCCTACTTGCCATTTTCCATTTAACAAGATGATCTTTTTTTGTCTCAACTTGACTCCCATAGAAAACCCTTCATTACCTTCTCCAATTTCTTAGCCAATCCATGGGATTCTAAAAACTGAATGTAATACAAAGGGAGATTATTCAATGTGAATTCAATAGGAGTCATTCTACCACTGAAGGAGATATAATTCCTTCAATAAAACTTTTGATTACTCATTAAAGTAAAAATACCAACCAAGCCTATTCAATGCAAGGGGAGAGATCCTTTCCTTGTTAGATGTACTGGCTATGTAGACAAAACATTTGTGAGTGTCCACTGCAATGAATTGTAACATTTTGCATCTGTAATCGATCACATTCATACAGTAGTAGGAAGATATTATGCTCTCATGAATATATCAAGTCAATATCAATCAAACGGAGAAGCTATAACAGTGCAGCACTAGATCTATTATTCCCAGAATGAAGCATACGTTTACCTAAATCGAGCCACTAGTACGCAACTAAGCAGTTACAAATTTTCCAGAGTTGTACAGTTTCCATTAATTTAAATCTCTTTATAGTGTAGCACTCTTAACGACTGCTCACCCCAAATCAGCTATTCTTTAGATTTGCTTATTCCCCCTTCCCCTAAGGGCAGAACCTTCACTTTATAGTGTGTTACACACTACCCATTGGGTATTAATCACAATCATAAGTTGTAGTCTTTTTCGAGCACAAACATCGTGAATAGACAAAGAACGACGCTCCACGGTGGCATACAGAAAGTTTAGATATCAAATTAAAGAACAAGAAAGTTTTTCCGTTTATTTACTTCAGTTTAGTGTGTTCTATCATTCTATTGCTCGACCCGCCAACTAAAATTATTTGGCTTGAATGAAATGAAATCGTTAAAAAAAATAGAGAGAGAGATATGATAAAGAGAAAGGGGGGCACCTTGTGAGGGCATCAAGGATGACCACCGCCATTCCTCTGTTATCGCTCCTCCCAGTCTTCGGCTGGTTATCGCCTTTCATAGTTATGTCATCGTAAAACGCCCGCGCCGCTAGCTTCACCAGTCTGATCAAAACCATCGGCGGAATTGTTAACAATAAAGATGGTCAAATCATAAATGGGAGTTGCGAAATTTTGAGAAGGTACCTGTTGAAGGGCTCCACGCTCATTCTCGACAGATTAACCTGTGATTTCTGATCATAAAATTCGAATTCTCTTGTTTAGAGTAGTTCGTGGAATCAAAGAGAAGGTGAGTCCGCTACTTCAATATCTTTTTTTCTTTGAAGCCTTCCACTATTCGATATCGATTCATGTTGCAGTGGTGGGAGAGAACGGGAGATTGTGGGAACTGTGGTTAAATCCCTTCTGTATCCTAATCGAAATCCTTTATGCAAAGAAGCAATTTCCATAATATCAAATAATCCCTCCTCATGTTTAAGAATATGTAAAAGTCCCTCTTGTTTAAATGAAATTGCACCAAGATCCTTAAGGTCTTTTTTGTTTTTTTTTTTGTATTTAACACAACAATTTTTTTTAATCTTCAATTTAACACAAGTTACAAATTACAACAGATTAATAACTGACGAAGGTACGTGATAATAGCTGAATTCCAATCCGCATAGGACTTCCATGCTCCGGCCACCACTCGTTAATGAGCTAAAGTTAGGCTTATGGAATGGGAAGAGAAAATATGGAACATTCTTCCATTCTTCCTTTTTTTTTGTTTAATGTAACAAGTAATGTGAAATTTTTTTTCTTTATATTAATTAACTGAATTTTAGATATATTATAGTTAAAATAGAAATTAAAAGCTAATAAAAGTAATATGATTAAAAATAAACTTTAATAAATAACAATTATTATTATTATTAAATTTTGTATTTCATTTTTATCATAAATAAAAATAGTTTTATTTTAACAATTATTTTTATTTAATATGATGAATATATAATATTATAAATGCTCTCAAATGTTTTTGACAAAATTTTGTACATTTTCATTTTTGGTGCTCTATCTTTTTTTAAATTGATCATTGACCCACCATCTAGATAAGAAAGTAGCTTGATTGTACTAAGTGTGTAAGAAAAAAAAATGGACGATTAATACCAATTCTTATCAAATTGGTATCATTACACCAATTTGATAAAAATTCACAAGAAACTCTTGGCTGTAATATTTACACTAACTTGATAGAAATTCGTAACTTGATTGTAAAAGTGGTTGGTCCCTTTAGTTATTTTATACGGTCAGATTAACATAATATAAGTTTATAAGAAAAAATAAAAAGAAAATAACAAGAGAGGGAGTGGGAGAAATACTAAGGGGAAACGACAGAGATTGAGGGAGAATGACATACTGATCGAAAGGAAGAGTGAGGGAGAATAATGAGAGAGATTGAGAGAGAATGATAGATTGAGAGAGAGTGGGGGGAAGAAATAAAGGTTTTGATTTGGTTACAGATCAAAGCTGAGAGAGTGAGAGAGACAAAGGGAGCGATAGATCGAGACATGACTATGAAAGTGAGAGAGAAGGGAGGAAGATCAAGAGATGGAGGGAGCATGAAAGAAACTAAAAACTATTTTCGGTATAGGCTTTTTGTTGTGTCCAACATGGATAAAGAGTCCCATGTTGGCAACAACCACAAAAGCCTTCGATGACATGATGAGGGTTTTTATAATTTGAAATGTAAAGCCAATTGTCAAAGTTTTGTTGGTTTTTGGGTCATCCTACAACATAATTGTAAATGTACAACTAGCTTTGACTATAATTTTCCCTTTAAACTAGGGGTGATCATGGGCTGGGTCGGGCCGGGCCCGACCCGGGGTTCCGGGCATGAAACATAAGCCCTAGCCCAGGTCTATACGGGTCCGGGCCTGATTCCGGGCCAATGTCACTCATACATAAAACATTATATATCTATATATTAAATAACTAACATGCATATAAACTTATTTTATACATTATATAATATAAAATACTACATATAATATAAATTATACATGTCATGTTATAATATTTATATATAAAATATAATGTAAAACAACATGTATACATATGTATACATTATACACAAAATGTGTAAGTTTCAATATATGCGGGCCGGGCTTGAAGTATTAAGCCCAACCCCGGCCCTAAAATTTGTGGGGCTGGTGTTAGCCCGGGCCCGAGCGGAACTGAACACAAACCCCAGGCCAAAGCCTGGAATTTCTGGGCTAGGCCGAGCCAAGCTAAAATGATCACCCCTACTTTAAACTATATATTTCATGTACATTATATAAATAATTTTTACTTATTACACTTAATTTTTGTTTGTCTATGATATCATTTGACCCAAACCACTAACCACCACCTAAAAAGAAAAATAAGTTGATTTCTAGGTAGACATTAAATTTTGTATTACATTTCCATCATTGATAAAATTATTTCTTATGTATAATACTTATTTTTGTTCAATATAATGAATGCATAATATTAGAGATGTACCTAATATTTTATTTTTATAAATATATAACATTAGATATGCACCAAAAATTTTCCCTATTTTTTTTTGTGATTCCTTGTATTTTCTATTTTTTTAAATTTTATTATTTGACTTCGACATCATTTCATTTCTAGGTAGATTTTAAATTTGACATTCCATTTTCATCATTAATAAAAATAATTCTTACATTTCATACTTATTTATTTTAGTTTTTTATTATTTAATTATGGCATTTGATGAGGGCATATTTGGCCCTCTACTGATAGTGCGCCATATGGCAATCCTATAATCATCACATGATACCCTGACACCACGTAGGTGATGACTTGCCTTAGCCAAAATGATGGAGACCCATCTACCGACTTACTGGAGACCCAGCTGGCGACCTACCTCCGTCGACTTGGCAACCTAGCAACCTACCTTTGGCGACCTAATGGAGACCCAGCTGGTGACCTACCTCCACTAACCTAATGGTGACCCAGTTGGCGACCTGCCTTCGCCGACTTGACAACCTACCTCCATTGGCCTAGTGACCTACTTCCGCCAACCTGGTGACCTGGTGAGTGGCAACCTAATAGAGACCCAGCTGGCGACCTACCTCCATTGACCTATTGGAGACCCAGTGGGCGACCTACCTCCGGTGACCTAATGGAGACCTAGCTGGCGATCTATTTCTACCAACCTACTGAAGACCTAGCTGGCGACCTAGTGGAGACCTAGCTGGCGACCTAGTGGAGACCCAGCTGGCGACCTACCTCCGCCAGCCAAGCGTATTACCTCCGTCGACCTGGTGACCTACTTATGCAAATTGACAACCTACCTTTGCTGACTTGATAGAGACCCAACTGGTGACCTCATACGAGCACCTCGTTTAGGGCCGACATGTAGTGCCTCGTCGTTACCGGTACAATGGGACCTTTGCGTGAGGAGAGACCTCCTCGAGGACATGCTGACTTGACTGAGGTCTAGGTGGCGACCTATGAGATGTGCTCGCCGATCTCTTCCTTAAGCAAGTTACTATTTCTGACTTCTTCGAGGTAATAACGCTCAACCTTTAAGCTCGCCTACCTGCATTTTTCGCATCAGAGTTAATCGAATGGACCTTAGTCCTCTGCGTGGATCACATAACTGACTGAGAGATCCTCTGCAAACTTAGCGGGAGCGGTTCCCCGGGAATCTCAGACCCATTACAATGAGCCTTTGCTTCCTTATGCCTATATAAAGGCATCACTTCCCCTGAGAAAAGGTATGTGCAATTTAGCTCTCGCAACTCTCTAGCTCTCTCAAAAATCTCCAATTCGCTGACTTAAGCATCGGAGTGCCCACCCTGGGTAAAGCAACATGGGCACTCTAATATTGTCTCCCTATAGGCCGCCCCAATAAACTATACAGACTGTCGTTATTCAGCTTGGCATCTGAGTCACCTTCTAGTAAGGAATTGTCTAGCTCGGCATCCAAGTCACCTTCCAGCAGGGAGTTGCCAGATTGCACACTATTAGCATTATTTATTAGTTCATTTTACCTCAAATGGTCGAATTGCTTGCCCACCATCGGAAGGGAAGAAAATGTTTTTCGTTTTCAAATTACTTTTCAAAAAATTTATTTTTATACTATTAAAATTAATATCATGGATTTAATTATGAGAAAAATATATCTTAAATATAGGATTTAATGAGAGAGGATAAGAAAATACTTTTATTTCTAATTGGTTTTAAATTTTACATTCCATTTCCATCATTAATAAAAACACTTCTTATTTATCATACTTATCATTGTTTAATATGTATGTTAAAAATGTTTCTAATTTTTTTAATTTCTATTTTTTTTTTCATTTTATTATTTAATCATGGCAACATGAATTGACCCATTTGACCCAAAATGGTTTAATTTCTTACCACCACCTAGATTAAAACACTTTTTTTCTAGTTAGATTTTAAAAGTATAAGCTTTTATGTTATTGAAATTAATTTGTTAAGTATGGATTTAATTAATTGAACTTAATGATGAGAAGAAACAAAAATGATTTAAATATATGATCCAATGAACACGAATGCAAGTTAATAACTTAAATGTTGGATTTAATGAGAGGGAATTGAATGCTTGAATATCTTAAAATTACCTCTTTTCAACTCATTTAATATCAATAACCAATTACCCTATTTGCCCTCATTTTTTATCAATAAATTTAAATATAGAGGGGTAAATTTTGTCCTTAAAAAATTCCAAAAATATTCTTGAGGCCATTCGTGCTTTTTAAAGTAGTATAGATCTTTTCAATTCATCGTTGATCCAACGGGTTGAACCGTTTGAACCATTATCCAATCAAGATTTTAGGTTCAGTTTTAGTAAAATCCAAAGGACAGTCAAAACCATTGTCTTGGTAAAAAAGTGTTTGACCCAAACGGTTGCACCATTGATACATTCAACCTAGTTACCAAGTCACGGGTTGCATACTGATGATGCACAATCTGGCCGGTCTTAGCTGTCAATGATCTTGCCTCTGAACTGAGTGACAGGGACCTGAAACGGAAGGAGAAGAGAAGCTCCGGGGAGAACCCGGTGTAAGGGCTCCGAATTCGCCCGAACTGGGGACCTCGGGCTCAACCGGCTCAGGGGCTTCGGGGCTAAACGTGCACTCTGCGATAAAATCTGCCAAGGCTTGGGCCTTGATGGCAGTTCTTGGCTTGTACTGGAGATCGTACTCGCTGAGTTCGATTGACCACTTCGTCAGCCGGCCGGAAACCTCGGGTTTGAGTAAAACTTGTCTCAGAGGTTTGTTGGTCAGGACGATGACGGTGTGGGCCTAGAAGTACGGGCGGAGTTTCCGTGCTGCTACCACCAGGGCATACGCTAGCTTTTCTATCTGCGGGTACCTTGTCT